GGGTCCACCGTGAGAAGATGATGGATTACATTCAACAGCGAGTCTAGTGCTTTTCGACTGAAGGCTATTCTGTACGAAATTGTATAACCAATCATATTAACAGTACCACGATGTATACCATATGACATCGCGACCATGTCTACTCCGGGGATGAATACGCGTAGCAAGAAAAGAGCACAGCGCTGTACGGAAGACATTCCCTCTAACAAGATACCGAAAGGGTCAGCAAACGATGCTCGTATTGAGTTGGCTGTCAGAGTCTCGGACGCTCACAGATTTAAGATTAGCCTGACCCCGTTTCATTCTTCGAGAATCGAGGCAGCCTTGCAAGATATTCACAAGAATCCGCGCGTTCACACACCATACTTTCGTCTGCTAGGGGAGATTCAGACTCAGGCCATTCAATATGTACAGAGCGCAAAAACGTTTGTGAATGAACAGGACCCGATTCTCAGTCACCATGACACGCTGGGATCCTTCGTGAACCCGAGACAAATGGAAAACGGGGACTTCATTTTGACAATGCGCTTAACCCGCAACGTACCGCTCGATCCACCCGGGGGGTCACTCAATGAGGAGTTTCCACGGGACATTTTCCGTGAGATTATCGTACATGAGCAATGTTCTGAATTCTTGAAACTGACACTACGAAAGGGGAACAGTCTCCAAATATAGTTTGGGATCGTATGCAACGCACGGTGATTATGTTATACGCAGGCATTCGGATAGGCTAGTACCTGAGTGTTCAACGGTTCTGAGTTGTTTGTCTTATGTTTGTAAAAGCCTCGCGTATGTGTAATTGTACTGGAATGTTGTAATGACATATTTAAATCACGTGGAGCGTGGTACCTGGTGATAATTGTGTATAGAGCTGCGAATACAAACACTCTACTAATGTAAGCAAACCGAGTAACATCGCTACATGGTGCTTTGCTGAACGAAAGCTCAGATCACATGGATTCTCCAGCGTATCGCAGGACCGCTCTCCAATCGTTAGCTTGTCCACGTTGCAGATGTCTAATGCACGACCCGACAATTCTAACGAGTTGCGGCCATCACGCATGCTACATGTGTATGCTGGACCATTGGACTGAGGAAAGAAACCTGGGTAGGAAATACACCTGTCCGGCATGTAACAGGAAAACGCCCTGCAAAAACGGACAACTACCTGAGATGGCACGGGATGAAACTTTGTTTCGCGTGGTTCGGAACGTGAGACATGGTATGAACGTGAGACATGTCCTACCCGAGATGTGAATGAACTCCACCACGGGTCCGTTTGGACAATGTGATGAATGGACGGGACAATTTACTATTTCCACACCAAGGAAAACCTCTTATCTCTGTGTCTTACTTGGCTCTCTCTAATAGTGAGAATTGTAATTGGTCTGGGTATTGTCAGATAATAGTGATTTAACCTGTCTTGTAAGCTAGCCAGCCGGCTTCATTGTGTGAATGAATAAACCTGTTTTATTGCAACAAGTGTTGTGTTGTGTGTTAGTGTGGGTGACATTCATAATACAACGAAAAAGCGTTTGTGACATTTTATTGTTTACAAGCAATTGCACGATATATATAACACAGAACACAATCCGTAGCAACGGTAAGAAAGGTATATACAAAGGCACATAACAATTGGTCCATGATTATACAACTCCCATGTGTAATATACAACATACATAAACGTAAATCGGGTGCAAATCAAAATACAAATGCAAACCCGGGGCGTAAGATATAAGTCATCTTTGTTTGTCCCCCAGCGTAGCCGGTCCGTTTTACCTAAGCTAGTAAACGCACCTGGAACGGACATTGCGTATGTCCTTGGTCATGGAGCAGCGATGGCACCGTGTGTGATACACATAAGGCATCGTCCCTAGCCGGTACGACACATGATTCGCTTTACGGGCATCTTTCTCAACCGGCTCCAAGGGCACGTTCAGGATCGCGGATAGACCCGTGGACACGTACTTTAAGAACGCGCCATCTTCATACGGTAATCCGTGACCGTGTACATGGATTATATCAGTCCTTTGAATGCGCCACAGTTGAACAGCCGCGGTCTTCATGTTCGATGGCATGGGTTCATCTGGGAATTTTTTAGTGTCAGCCACACTAAGACTCTCGGGGCACCGTTGATCGCCTATGGTCACTTGTATGTACCACTCGAATGAATACATACACCAGTCAATCACATCCTTTGTGAGGATGATAGTACGCCCGAAAGGCTCAGAAGGCCAGTAGTAATTCACAAAGGGTCTGTTGTAGCACAACTTGGGACATTCATATGCGAAAGAGAATAACTTAGGGAATATCATCCTCTTGTCCTTCGGTAGACGCTCGATGTGAACATCGTGAATTAAGTTCATGAGAGCTCCCGCCACAGCCTTTGCTCCGTTTAATCCGGTCTTATAAAGTATGGGCGAATCGTCCAGTGTAAGTTCATTCAGTTGCTCGTCTAGCATGGTCATAAGTGAAGGGGGTGCGCTTAGAATCTTCATGATTCTCGCAGCGATTAAAGCTGGAAGAATCTCGAACCGCGTAACACGTATTGCGAGATTGACCATGTATGTAATGTCTTTGTCCTTATATCCCCACTTGTCCCAATCTCGGAAACACCAGTTATATTCCTCACGAATAACGATGTCTTCATCACGGTTGTAATCGAATTGGTATCCCAATGGATAGCTGTATATCGCGAAGCCCTTGGTGTCTAACATAGTCGAAAGAACCGTACACGGAGTTCAAACACAAGACACAAAATGTGCTTATGTACCTCACGGAATTCACTGATCTCGCGGTTTTCGTGATACGACGATGACAGGGTTTTCGAAGGCGCTGTATTCACCGATCTCGAGTTCCTCGGAGGGTGTCAGGGAAACGCAGAGTCCTCATATAAAGACCCGTTCACTGATCTCGCGTTTTTCGTGATACTACGATGACAGGGTTTTCGAAGACGCTGTATTCACCGATCTCGAGTTCCTCGGAGGGTGTCAGGGAAACGCAGAGTCCTCATATAAAGACCCGTTCACTGATCTCGCGTTTTCGTGATACTACGATGACAGGGTTTTCGAAGACGCTGTATTCACCGATCTCGAGTTCCTCGGAGGGTGTCAGGGAAACGCAGAGTTCATTAATCCGGAGTGTTTGGATAGTCACGGGGTCAGATCGGTTAAGAGTGAACCAGTCTAAGCGATAAGGAAATCGCTTACGTGACTCGAGTTCCGGCTCTCGTCAGCAAAAAAAAAAAAAACAAATGAACCCACGGTTTCGAAATTACCAATCCTCGTGTACACAATGTACTCTTACACAACTAGAGTACAGTGAAGGGAAGGACCCGGCTGGAACCGGATCGGGATTGGTGATCGTACAAGTTGCTCAAACAACCGTGCGCTGCGATTGGATGGGAACAAAGCTGTAGCAAGAGTGTACTCGTATAAAGATGTGCCGAGACTCAGCTCGCGTATTACTTGACTAACAGTCTACGCATTAACGCTCTGTCTGTGAAGTGCTGGTGCAGTTCTATCGCTATAATCGAAATGGGTCTACATGTTATACTGAGTTTGCTTATGGTGGCGATCGTAGACGCTTGCGTGCTGAACAGAAGCGCGATTCCTACTATAGTAGGTACAATGGGGGATCGCTTTAGGTTACCGAATCACATCGATGGGCGCACGCTTACATTCGAGAAAGACAACGTGACTGTACAGGCGACTGAACATATATACGAAGTAACAAATGTCTCAGGTTTGTACAGTGTATGGATTCGCTTTCTCACATGTACGGATGAGGGTGTTTACACGATCGGCGACTACACCTTTAGACTCAGGGTACGAGCAGATACGTGTGGTGTTTTCTACTATACTGTGAAACCGGGCCTGATGAGATCTTTATTAATCGAGCCTTTGGACGGCGTGCTCGGTATCTATAGATTTCACGTACAACCGGACGGAGCCCAGTTGTGGAATTTGGGACAAGTGTGGAATAATACCATGGACAGAGTGCGCAGCCCATGTTACGGTTGTTTCATAGTTAACAAGGGGCGCTCTTTCGGAGTGAGTGGCGATGAGTCCTATCGTTATTTTATGTATAGCAGACAAGGGACCTGGAATATGACGTGTTCAAGCGTTCACAATCAAGCTATCAAACCAGCTACGGAGAGCGCAACCCAGACCACCGCTTCTAGCAGATCATTTGTCCCGGATTTACCGAAGCTGCAGGATGTTAAAACCTATGTAGAGTTACAAGACGTGAACTCCGGTGTGTATCGGTTTTACATTGCGTTTTTAGCACCTTTGCATTGTCATTTGTGTACTGTATCTAACCGTGACATTTTCATTCTTACAGGTATACATAAAATGAAGAACGTGATAGATGACCTAGAAAGGTCCTGGACACGATCTACGGGGTCTGCAACGCGATGCACTTCTGTATATTTCATCATATCCTTAGTTTATGCAACACATGTATCACTTGGCTAACGCTGAAACGTTACAGGGGAATATCAGGATACTGTGCAATGTGGGCAACTGTAATGACATTGTGTAACGTCGAAACTGTAGTGATTTGTGTTATATGAGAAACTGTATCACATGTAGACATTGTATATGCCATAAAGGTGAATCAATACTGTAATCTGGACTGTACATAAAACTGTATCCGATCCGTATGTACAAAAGTGTTTATTGTATGTAATAAAAACAAGTTCAAGTACATCCATATATAATCGTCATGAGTGATTCCTACACAAACACATTACATTGTACAACGTTACACGGGTTGTAATGTAAACCACCGATGGGTGCATCAAAATATATTATGTACACACAGTATACGTGAGACTGTTACAAGTAACAACAAAGACACACGGGTTTAGGTGTAACTACACTGTAACAGCCATAAACCATCAGAAATGAATGTGACCAATCGTTCACATTCACGTATCTACCCTCACGTGAGAGTCCTTGCTTTCATCGCGAAGCTCCCGAATCCTCAGCTCCTTTTCAATCAGAGTCCTCAAATGTCTCATGACACTTCAGATCCCGTTCAGCATCACGTTCCTCCTGAGCTTCTTCACGCCACTTCACGCTTCTTGCAATCTGCTTCTTGACCAATTGTATATCATCTTCGGTCATGGAAGCGAGTTGGGTCCATTCCGTTTTCCGTAAGAACTCGCGTGCTGTGAGTCTCTCAGTTTCGCGAAAAACCAATATGCTCATCACGATATTTCTCGCCAGACTGGAACTCATAACGTTTGGGATTATGTCCTTTAAATCTATCCGTTGATCCATCGAGATCCGATCGGTGTTTTCGTGTTCTACGCTCCGTAGAATCAGATCATACGTTGTCATGTCGCGCTTACGCGCTTGGAATACCATGTGACCCTCAAACGCGTCCGCGATCATAACACCCAGGCTCCACATATCAATTGCACAAGTGTACTCTGTACACTCTTTCTTCTCCGCCAACGCTTTGCAGACCTCCGGAGCTCGGTAGGGTTCTGTTACCACAGCCGGACTCATCCATCGCGAAGCATGTCTCGACATGCCCATATCAGCAACCTGTATAACCAAGTCCTCGGTTACTAGTATATTGGAGGGTGTCAGGTCTCGGTGTATTATGTTCAGCCCGTGCATGTAAGACAGAGCATTCGCGACCTGGGTCGAGAAATGTGCTATGAAACTCTCGGGGATTAAAGGTGTACACTGGAACTCATCGTAATAAAATTTGACCCCATGGCCATTGTGAATGATTTGCGCCAGAGTATACGGTACATAGTCCATGACCATCGCCACCTGTCCGTTATCTATAAAGCAGTCGTGTATCTGGATCACATTAGGGTGTCCTTTAAGTGCGGTGAGACAGGAGAGTTCTCTCACAGTGGAATCCTCCACTCCCTTATTCGAGTCAGGTACACCGGTACATTTTAACGCGAAGATTTGTTCGCTCGTCCGAGACAGAACTTTATACACCGTTCCGTACGAACCCCGGCCCAGGATCGAGGATTTTAGGTAATTCTCCATAGTCTCCACGAATCACGTTGTCAACTATATCGCTGGACTATCAACGCTTCGAGACAACGGTCCCTTTATTCACGTTCGCAACCGGAAACGTGTGTAAGTCATATGTTTAACAAACGTAACATTCACCGATCCGGGTTTTTTGTGATCGAGTCAGGGGTTTAGTAAATCTACCATTCACTGATCAGGAGGCATTCGACTGAGTCAGAGGGTTTAAAGCTTCTTCGCTATGGCTTACGATGACTACAAAAATTTTGAGACTCTCCGATTTATACCACCTGTAGACTGTGTCTCTGTGAATTGTAACTCGCTGAATACACAATGGGACGATTTTCTCTGGAGCCTAAAGGAGAAGAAACACTGGTGGGGCACGGATCCGAATTCTCCGAACGGTTGGAAATCTCATGAGATTGTGACGGGTACCATAGCCTGTATCTTCATTCTTTGTTTTTCAAACTATGTGTTTGTGCTTATTCACGGAATCACCGATCTCGGTTTTTTTTTCGTAGCGGAGTCATGGGTTTATCAAGTCTATAGAATTTGCCATTCACCGATCTCGGGTTTCTTCGTAGCGGAGTCATGGGTTTATCAAGTCTATAGAATTTGCCATTCACCGATCTCGGGTTTTCTTCGTAGCGGAGTCATGGGTTTATCAAGTCTATAGAATTTGCAATTCACCGATCTCGGGTTTTCTTCGTAGCGGAGTCATGGGTTCATCAAGTCTATAGAATTTGCCATTCACCGATCTCGGGTTTTTGTTTTCGTAGCGGAGTCATGGGTTTATCGAGTCTATACCTGGAAGTGTGTGGTATACATGCTCAGACTCTGTGTTAAGTACTCAATGTAAGATTTCTACTCTTGTACTACACTGAGAATAAAGTCCTCGATCGCAATGGCCTACAACAATCGTAAGGTATTCCGACTCATACCATATGCGAATCGGGTCACTGTGAATTATAACTCGCTGAATACACAATGGGACGATTTTCTCCGGGACCTAAAGGAGAAGAAACACTGGTGGGGCACGGATCCGAATTCTCCAAACGAGTGGACATCTCATCATATTGTGAAGGGGACCGTGACCCGTTTCTCCGCCAGTGTTGCTATGAAACACGGAGACTATATAGTCTCTGAATACCTCGGTGACCGAGCCGGAGGCCTTCTCACCGTGACCGTAAAGAACCGCGATGCCGTGGAATCGTACCACATGTACGCTAAAAGAGGGATGTTTGTAGTACAACCCGGGGACTGGTTCGTGGGTGAACAATACACTCTTCTTCGGTGTTACACCTATCTCCTAAACGGGATATCAGACACGCTCAAATCCTCGTTGAACGCAGTGTCCTCCGAGGGTAAGGCTGTGAAGCGGATTACGGAGGAGTCAATTAGCGCCACTCGCCCCATGCCACCCATACTGACTGTATCCGCTGTAGTGCGCGAAATGCGCGAATTTGTGGAGCGGCTGGGTCCGGCCTGGTGGGGGTACGTTTCTACAAGATCCAGGGCTTCTCCTGATTACCACGATGTCCACGGACAGCTACAAGAGTGTGAGACCGAAGACGGGTTAAGCCCCGCGGCGGTGGTCGCGTGCATAGACGAGTTGGGTCCTGGGTACCTGTTCGAGGTTATGTGCAAGGACGGGAGAAACTATAAGATTTATTTCAGCCGAATGCACTACCGGGTCTATGATCATCGGAGAGAAGTTTTCACATTTCACAGTATCACGGATATACATCAGTACCTGATACGGGACGATCTTTCGTTCAAAGAGATACCTCTTCTCCCTGGGCTAGAAGTAGATGGGTAGCTGTGGGTTATGGTCTGAATTGTTACGCTGTTTGTAATGTCTTACTATTCAAAGTTATGTTGTTTCACACTGTGTTTGTACATGGTAATCATATTGGAAATAAAATCTTTTTAAAATGAATCTTTTATTGTGTGTTTATGCCAATCGACGAACCTGTCCTAAGTCCCAGGTTGGGGTTAATGTAATCATGATGGAAATAAAATCTTTTTACAATCCTTTATTGAGACTGATATTGCATACCAATTAATGAACCGGTGAACCGGTCCTCAAGTCCCAGGGTGAGGTTAATGTTAATCATGATGTCACATAGTCATTAGCTTCGCTCCGGGCGATCTCACAATAGAGAAACCTCAAAAAGAAATCAGTCCTCCCCCAAGCTGCAACATGTCTGATGTCATGTAATAAGGATGATTGAAACAACAAGGTGATAGTGTCACTGGATCCTGTGAAGCGGTCATTAGCTGTTTGAATCCAAAGGGACGTACCCACCTCGTGTCAGGGTTTTCCGTATGAACATTTATTGTACAGACTTGGTTCATGGTTCCCCGAGCGTGTCGGGTTTTTTCGATCACTCTAATCGTGTTCAGAAGCGCTTTGGTCCCGGGTTTTTCAGAGCGTGTCAGGGTTTTTCGAACGGACTAATCTCACGCGCTTTGGTCCCGGGTTTTTCAGAGCGTGTCAGGGTTTTTCGAACGGACTAATCTCACGCGCTTTGGTCCCGGGTTTTTCAGAGCGTGTCAGGGTTTTTCGAACGGACTAATCTCACGCGCTTTGGTCCCGGGTTTTCAGAGCGTGTCAGGGTTTTTTTGACTCAACTGCTCAGAAGCACTTTGATCCCGGGTTTTTTAGATCGTGTCAGTAGTATTTGTAAAGCTTTTATAAGAGACACCGTTAGCGCCGGTGATATTTTGCGAGTCGAACATACTCTACATCTTTGCACCGCTCGAATGTACGAAACGGTAACACGCGTACATACCCAATCCATGGAGTTATATTACGAAGTGTTATATTGTCCAGATGCACACTCCGACAACGTGCGTACTCAAGTGCTTACCATACAGGATGCCGAGTTCGCTAACACATATATCGTGCCACCCTTCTTTCTTGTGATGGAGGACTCGAAGAACTGGTCGGTCGGGCCTTTACAAGACCAAGACGAATCGCATAATGGTGATGATACAGATCTGTTGCATAGCGTGGGGTCTGCACGGTCAATGCAGAATATCACGTTGGATACACGCGATGACGGTCCCGTGGATACTGACCCTATGCCACCACGCGAAGAACACTGCGTATCGGGTGATGCGCCCGTGATAATGGATCACGAAGATACATGTGAGCGTCTGCGTGCCAATGGAGAGGCTGAGCTCCTCAACGGAGAGGTCGAGCTCCTAGAGTATATAGAGACATTTGAACCCGAGGTGTCATCGGACACGATGTGGCACACTGAACCTACATACACGGATGTTACCGTACCAGCATACGAACCGCTCCCTAGGTGTACAACTGCGCTGGATTACATACCGTACGCAAAGAATGTAATGTGTGTATACTGTACAGGTCTTGTTTAAACTTTAACGGTGAATAAAAATACATACTGTAAGCAATGTTGTCATGTGTATTCATGTACATTTGCATTCATTCAACTCCGTGACACAACCATGGTCTCAGAGTGTCTCCCGGTGTTTATGTGATATATTCAACCATCCCAAAGTCAGTGACACATATATAGTCTTAAACAGATTTTATTTATTATACATTCAATCATCCCCATTGAGTAAAAGGGTATAACGTTACACACAGGTAAATGTACATTTACATTACGAGTGCAAGTGTCACAAGCCCAACGCATCCAACCGTGCGTATCAGGTCAGACCACCGCGAGGAAGACTCTGTCTGTACGAGTGCAAGTGCCACAAGTACAGCTGCCATGCGTATGAGACCAGGTTGCAGTATACAGAAAGACGGTCCGCTGAAGACATCCACGAACCCCTCCTGTGAGACACACGGAAAGACAGACTTGTGTTAAACCGTGATACGTTTAATTGACATAGGTTTATATTGCACATTCACTGACCCATGAGTGTTCCAGCATCCACTCTTTTTGGTAAGTAATCAGGTAATCCGCGATGGCTTCCCCTATCGATATCGCGCGGATATTCAGCCCCCTCTCTCTACGATCGTTGGCCAAGAAACATCCGAATGCGGTTAAGCTGACAACTCTGCCCCAGTTCACGGTCCCGTCCGAGAATACCTTCTCGGCTACGGTAGTGATGACAGTCAGGTCTCTCTGATTCAGTGGTAAGGTTTGTAGCATATCTACCAAAGGAAGTGTCAAACATTAGTCACAACACGCGTTGCAAGATAACACATATCACCGGTGGCACCTGTACTTACCTCGATATCTACCCGCGTACGTGCTCAATGCATAACGTACCATCCTTTGCATTGTCAGCAATGCTTCATCGGAAGCCTCAGATCTTGTCACGTTATCTACATAATCGATTACAGTACACGTAACCAACCACTTAGTGCGCTCGTATACATCATGTACCCTTTTCCACGGTACAGCATATACCTCGTTCCGTGGAACATAGAACCATGGACACATTGTTGAATGCTGTTCACACGGCTGACACTCGCACCTCAATGACAGCAGGGCTATTTGTCTCGCCTTAGTACGTAAAGATGTAACGTGTCAGATTACAGTGGGCGTATCAAGGGTGTGCTTAGTACATTGTGTTATCGACGATATCGACTAATTGTGAACATCACAAAGAATGTATATCATGTTACAGATGGTATAAGAACAACCGAGTCTACGGGTGGATAACAATGGTTTATTCAAAGCATAATCATTTAGACAAGGCTGGTGTATTACATATATCATTCTGATAATGTACATGTTCAGCTTGTGGATACAAAGCAATTGTCACAACGATACATGGTGAGCAATGTAAAATAAAAAAGCATTTCCATAACGTTGACAGCCATTTCAACCGGTGGAGAAACACAATTATCACAACGATACAAGGCGAGCACTGTAAAAGTAAAAGAAGGCATATTCATAACGTTGACAGTCATTTCAACTGTACATGTTATGTACTACACAAGTAGACACGGGGTACGATATCTCACAGTAATTTCGCCCTGCTGATCATTCGCAGAAGCGAATGTCTCATGTCAACACAGCCGA